AATTTGATTATGATCTAGTTTTGAGAGACGTTTCTTCAAAAGAAAGTTTTGGAAAACACGACTTATTCCGATTTTTGACGTTTTAATGACGTTTTAAAACGTCACCCGTCCCCAAAGGGTTAAAGAACTAATAGATACATCACCAAATGGATGGAAATTATTGCAACATTGCATTTATTTAGATGAAAATTTTATCAGCATGGATATGCTTGAAGAAATATTAACTAAGGTTCCAAATAACACATTGGATATTGATGAAGCAAAAGCAGCACTGGAAGAACTTTCATTAGTAAATCAAATTCAATTGGAAAATGGGAAAGAATCTATGTTTGGAATAAAAATACATTCAATAATAAAGGACACAATTGAAATATATATAAGAAAAGAAGAGAATAATGAACAAATGAAAATATTAGACAATGTGATTGATGCTGTCAACAAAAAAATGCCAGAAATTGATGAGATGCCAAATCAAAATGGCGATTGGGATACGGCAGAAATATATTATCGACATGCACACAAATTGATAAATTTAAAATTAGAACAAGAATTTCAGAGCAATGAAAAGTTAGCTGATTTATATTCAAAAATAGCAAAATATGAACAATATAAATTATGTAATTTGGAAAATTTAATAAAATATCATACAAATAATTTGAAAATATTAAAAAATATACATAAAGGTAATAATCTGGATGTTGCAAGATCATTGGGTAATGTTGGATACAGTTATAGTAAATTAGAAAATCCAGACGAAGGATTAAAGTACTCTACACAAGCATTAGAAATGTATCGAGCTTTATATGAAGGCTACCATAAAGATGTTGCAAAATCATTATGTGATGTTGGATACAATTATAATAGATTAATGGAATCAAAACAAGCATTAGAATGCTTTATAGAAGCATTAAAAATCTATACACATGTATATCATCAATACAATCATCCAGATGTTGCACTATCGTTAAACAGTATTTCCGTAACTTATAATAAATTAAGAGATGAACAAAACGGATTAGAAAACTATAAAAAAGGATTAGAATATTCTACACAAGCATTAAAAACGTGTCAAAGTTTTAAAGACAAGCATCCACATGTTCTTGCAAAGGTGTTGGCTAGTGTTGGAACCAGTTATAATAAATTAGGAGATGCACACAACGGATTAAAATACTCTGAACAAGCATTAGAATACTATAAACAAGCATTGGAATACACTGAAAAAGCATTAAAAGTGTATCAAGATTTATATAAAGACAATCATCCACATGTTGCAAGATTGTTGGGAGATGTTGGATACAGTTATAATAAATTAGGAGATGCACACAACGGATTAAAATACTCTGAACAAGCATTAGAAATGTATACAAATTTATATAAAAACAATCATTTTGATATCGCAAAATCATTGGGACGGGTTGGATACAGTTATGATAAATTAGGAGATTTACAAAAAGCATTAAAATACTATGAACAAGCATTAGAAATATATCAACATTTATATAAAGGTAATGATAAACGTGTTGTAAAATCGTTGATGACTGTTGCATTCTGCTATAAGAAATTAGGAAATGTACAAAAATTCCAAGAATTAAAGGAACAAGCTGAAAGAAATTCCTCAGGTAATACAGTCTAACGGTGAGGGTGAAGTGTTGAGGGCAATGTATTAAAATATGAAAATAGATACTTTTTTGATTTTGACTTTTTGAAACAAAGACCTTTTTGTTGTTTTTTGACTATTTTTAAATATATATTTTTTTATTTCACAAAATTTGTTATTTATATATACAGACAGTTATCATCCACATGCTGCAACATCATTAAATAGTGTTGGATCAAATTATTTTAAATTAAGAAATGCATAAAACAGATTAAAATATTTTGTTTTTGAAATAAATAATCTCTCTATCTAAAAGAGAAAAAAATTTCGTCGAAAGTAGGATAACTGTTGTTTCAACATTAAACCGTTGTCGGACATATTTTTTTGAAGTGTTTCACCTAGTAAAACCGAATCTTTAGCTGACTTCTTGTTCAGAATAACTCTTGTCATAAGTTCTGAGTAAATGAAATACTGTATAGTACAAAATATTTATCAGAATCTAGTAAGAATCCAATAAGCTTCCCGCAAAAAATTTGTCTACACATAAGAATTACATGAGAATTCTTAGCACTTTCTTATGAAACTTTTACGACTTTCTTATAAGACTCTTGTGATGGTTTTTTGGGATCCGACTTATGTGTTTTCCTAGAAGTCGCATTTTTTGAGACTGTAGCATAACCAACGTTGAGAATACGCCATGTACACGTTTATAATAAATATCTTTTTGTTTGTCTTTCATACGTGAAACATAATCTAATAAGAAATGGATATCCTAAAAACCTAGTAAGAAGAAAAATTAAACATACGATTGAACAACAAAAACAGCAATCTCCAACAAAAATAAAAAAGATCTTTTTTACCTCGCCGACATACTGGGGTAATGAAACAAAAGTCATGGCAGATAAACTAAAGAAGATGCTTGAAAAGACTTTCCTAACGACAGAAGTGAGGTTCGGATTCAGGAGAGGTTTAACGGGACGAAAAGTGTTCATAAAGAATTATAAAGGGATTGATGATACAAACACTGGAGTAGTGTACAAAATTAAATGTGATCGTTGTACACAGGTATATGTTGGACAAACAAAGTTGGTAGTGATGGACAGCATGGAACAGCATCGAAATGGATTAAAAGAAAGAGGGAAATCGGCGGCTGCGGATCATATGCTCGACAAGAAAAGTCACGTCGTCAGATTTGATCAACGCATTATCATGGCACGTGATACAAACTGGAAAAAAAGAGAAATTAAAGAAACGCTAATTACAATGGAGCATCAAGCTGCTGCATACAATAAGATAAGTCATGAGCTTATAGTGTTTAATTAAACATCCAGTTTTAAGTTCTGAGTTAAGTTTCACGTTTAACTACAATGAATTTCTGCGCTCTCTCTCACTCTAACGTACATATATATAGTGTGCATATTTCGTAGAATTTTTCACTATTTTCTCTAAGAGAATGAAAAAGAATATTCTTAGAAATATCTACTACATTCACAGAAGAGAAGAGAACAGAAAAGAATAGTAAAATGAACATCTATATATACTGTGAGTGTTTTTCGTTTAAATGTAGCTGACGATGATTACAGTTGTAATCGAAAGCTCCTGTCTTAAATAAAAGTTTTAAAATAATGATTGTTGAACTCATACAATTAATCTTTTCTTTTATAATCTTTTAATGATGATACTTCATTACGCGACAATGATGTATGCTAACGTAAGAAATCACTAAGTTTTTTTACGATTATCAGAATCTTCATGAATACCTAGAATGCAGAATAAAAATATTAGAAACAGAGAAATACTAGTCAAGGCTGGGTGAATCCGAGTCACATTTGTTTAAAGACTCTGACTTGACTCTGACTCGAAAATTGGGTGATGTTGACTCGACTGTTTGACTCGGATTATTCATTCAAAACAATTTTCATTTGCTCTTATAAAAAACTTACAATTTATAAGATTACATTTTCACTTATTCATAACTTCCGTCCTAATTGAATATCTTGCAACAGAACTATTTTTTATGCATAAAAAGTAGGAACTAGATATCCTGTCATGAAGAAGTTCTTGTAAACGTTGTTTATAAAAATAAACAGCAAACGAAAAAATGGCAAAAAGAACTTGACCGAACTCGACTCGAAACCGCTACGAAATGACTGGAACTCGACTCAAAAAGTGGCTTGATTCGCCCGGCCCTGGTAGTATAGTCATCTTACAGATCAATTTTACACGATTACTTTGAGACCCATAACTTCGCTGATATCAAGCTTAAATATACTACTTCAACTCAAAGAAGGTGATGCTGAAATCCAAGGAGAGTCTATCACCTCAAGGCTTATCCTTTGCCGACATTGGAACTGTGTCCTAGCTAATCAACACATTCAAGAACACATTTCTACATCGCTCTATAGTACGTCCAAGCTGAGCAGCAATCTGTGAATAAGAGAAACTACCATTGAACAAATGATTAACCGACTCTTCCGTGAATAAAATTCTTTTCGCACTTACTCTTACACATCTTTCTCGCACCAAATTTGAATTCGCGGAAGAATCGTTTCATGTGAACATGTAAATCTCAAACTCTGGTGAACAAATAGGAGAGAAATCCGGATATTTATGTAACTAACGCTTCACCGAGTAGTCTGGTGATCCTTTCCTATCGCTTGTACTATGCTCTCTACAATGTTTCTTGACTTCCTCTATACGCGCTTTAATTTAGAGGGACGGACAAAATAGACGACCCCACCTCAATAGGAGATCTTCCCTTTTTCTATCGATTTTTCGGTCTGAAAATATGCTGATTTTTGTCGTTCGTTCATACACTACTTTTTACTTCGTCTTTCTGCTTAGCTGTTTGAATGAACACAGTTGATTGAAAGTGAGAAAAAATAAACAACGATCATGAGTTGTATAAACACCCCTGTCTGTTGTGCAGACTTTCAATCAAGCGAATTTAGGTAAAACAGGCCTTTTTTAAGGACGCTGTAGAAGACCCCCTAGAATTTGTGTGCACTAGGACGCTATAGAAGACCCAGGTCCTCTATTGTGTCCACCCCTTTAATATATCGCTTGCTGTCTACAGTTTACCTAATTTTAAATTTCATGAAAATTGTTCAAAACTTTTTAAATAATTCTTGATCTTCTGATATTTTTTCAATAAATTCCATACAGTTTTTCACCAATTTTTTTACGCATAGCTTCCAAAATTTTACTTTATTGTAATGTTTCACGTGATATATTCAGTGGTAAATCTTCAGTATCAACAACGCCTTGGATGAAATTTAAATATTCTGATATTAACTCTTTACAATTTTTCATGATAAATACACGACGAATATAAAGTTGAATCGAACTTTTTGTTTTACAATTTTCAAATAAATCAAAGGGTGAACGTTTTGGGATAAATAATAAAGCACGAAATTCTAAGAGATCTTCAACAATGCTTAACAGCTCAATGATCTTCCCTATCATTTGTCAATTATTTATAAAATTCAGCATATTCTTCCTAGAAAATAGAGAAAGACAAATACATTGAACATCATACTGTAATACCTTAAAGAAACAGAAAGACCACTTCCGATTGATTTAAACTCTTTAGTATACTCTTCGGTTCTCTATTAGTTGATTTCTTTCTCTCATAATACTTAAAGGATACAGTTTTACCCACAAAACCCTTTTGTTATAAAGCTGCGCTCTAGGACTCAGTTCCGATTCGTTGACTAATTTAAGCAAAGATAATTAAAATTTTGAACTCGTTGACATATTTAGATAACTGCAATAAAATACAGGTTGATGCAAATATGATACTGCATCTATTTCTAATTAGAGAAACATCGGTGGTCAACGACGCAATCTTTGAAAAACAACTTTGAAATTATCATAATTTCGATGGTACAAGAACAACGAACTCTGTCGAAGAATAGGAGTTAAATACCGATCCACGTTTATATCTTTATGTTACGAAATTCAAAAGTGACTATACGTATAATGGTTGTGCTAGACCTAAACAAGTTCAACCACAACAACAAACAACAGCATCACGAAAGAAATTATATGTAAATAGAAATGAGTTAGAGGTGTGCAGGGTATGAGTTTTTTGTACCCTATATCCTACACTATAAAAATTTCTCGTACTCTAGTCTATTAGCTTTCACACTCTACCCTATCCTAACCTATTGACTTCAGACAGTTTGCACCCTACATCCTACCCTACACATAAGAAAGTAGGAGTAAAATCGGATCATTCATTCACCGATCGACGTTCGTTTTTCTACCTACAGTTTTATTCAAAAACAATAAACACACATTTTATTGGTGCCGAAAATTGCATTTAACAATATGTCGTCAGGTATGTCGGGATTCAAGGAATGTCGTCTTTGTTTCAATATTCGACAATAAAATCACGGTCCTTTGGCGTCAAATTCAGCATGGAAATTTTTGATTCCTCAACTTCGTAGAATAACTTTTAAAACTTCGTTCTACGATTAGAAGACGCAAAATTTTGTCTAGTATTTAATGGTATGCTTCGGTTAAAATATATCTGAATCGAGCATATCGACAGCAAATGCAAAAAATTTCTGATATTCTGGTCTATAGATAACTGGACTGTTATCTTTCAAATCTTTATAGAAAAAATACTTGTGCTTAGTTTTTCAAACTTTTTGTTTTTCATAGAAAACTAGTAGAGGTTGCACTTTACTTTTCCCCGCCTAAAAATAAAACCATTGTTACTCTTGAGGTGTAAGGAATCAATGGATGCAAATAGGTTAGTTAGGTAGAAGAGGTCAAGGTGATTATAGCTAAAGTATTGAAAAGTAAAAATTTTTCAACAACAAAAAAGAATCTAAACCTTACTTTTTTTACTACTTCCTTTAGCTGGTATACGGAAAAACGAGGATTCTTCTTTAAAAATTCTATTAATCAGGGGGAAAACAGGTTGAAAGGCCAAACATTTTTTCATAACGACAGTTTGGTCCGTACAATCGAATAG